GGGGGGGGGGGGGGGGGGGGGGGGGGGGGGGGGGAAGAGTACATTAATGATCTTGCTTAATGAGCCTTAAAGTATTCCACAGTGATGGCTCTTGTTTTTCTTTTTTGTTTTGTTTTCTGTATTTGGTATGCTCTAGATTATGGAGTCATTTCCCCCCCCCCCTTTGTTTTATGAGACAGAGTTTTTCTGTGTAACCTTGGCTCTTCTGGAGCTTGCTGTGTAGACTAAGCTGGTCTTGAACTCAGCAGTTTGTCTGCCTCTGCCTGCCAAGTACTGGGTGTGTGCCAACATGCCCAGCTTCTTTTTCTTTTTTTAAGTAGGCTTCCAGGGCTAGAGAGTTAAGAGCACTGGCTGTTCTTTCACAGGACCCAGGTTCAATTCCCAGCACTCACATGACAGCTCACAACTGTCTGTAACTCCAGTTCCAGGGTAACCAATACCCTCATGCAGACATACAGCACATAAATTAAAATTTAAAACAAAACGATAGCCCCCCACCCCACACCTTCTCTATTGGTTTTTAAGATAGAATCTCACTGTATGTATAGGCAAGCTAGCCTGGAACTCATGACATCCTCCTGCTATAGCCTCCTAAATACTAGAATTATAAGTGTGTGATATCATACCCAATTGAGAAAAGGTTTTTGTGTAGCTAACCTCAAACTTAAGATCTTTCTGACTCAATCCCTAAGTGATAGGATTACAGGTGTTTACCACCCATGCCCAGCTAGTCAAAATTTCAAGTTCCTTTGTTTAGTATTTTTTTAAAGGTTTATTTATTGTGTATATAGTGTTTCTCCTGCACAGGCCAGATGCTTGCAGGCCAGAAGAAGGCACCAGTTCGCATTATAGATGGTAGTGAGTCAACATGTGGTTGCTGGAAATCGAACTCAAAACCTCTAGAAGAACAGCCAGTGCTCTTAACCTCTGAGCCATCTCACCAGCCCCTTGTTTTATTTATTTATTTTTTATGTGTCTAAATTTATTCTGTGGTGGGAACAGAGTGGCAGAGCAGTCAGGGGACAACTTGCAAGAGTCAATTTTTTTTTAAATATTTATTATTTATTATGTATACAGTATTCTTTCTGTGTGTATGCTTGCAGGCCAGAAGAGGGCACCAGACTTCATTACAGATGGTTGTGAGCCACCATGTGGTTGCTGGGAATTGAACTCAGGACCTTTGGAAGAGCAGGCAATGTTCTTAACCACTGAGCCATCTCTCCAGCCCCCAAGAGTCAATTTTCTACTTTCACCATGTGGATTCTGGTCATGAGCTGAGGTCTCCAGGCTTGGCAGTAAAGCCCCTTTAACCTGCTGAGCCCTCTTGCTGGCATTGTTTTCTTTGTTGAAATGTGTAGCCTGGGCTGTTTTCAGTCTTCAGTCCTCCTGCCTCAGACCTACTGAAAGTGGAATAACAGATGAGTATAACCATGCCTTCTCCTTTATTCTTTACTATGATCTTTTTGACATTTCTTATTGATTTTGTTTGTGTGTGTGTGTGCACATATTCTACGACACGAGGTGAGTACACATCTTCTGAGTGTGGGCTCGAATGTATCTCAGGCTATCAGGCTTAGCATGAGTGGAATCACCTTTATCAACCCTGTTTGTTATGATCTTCATTGCTCAGGAGTTCCTCAGTGTCACTGATTAAAACTAAGGTGGGACTTTTGCTTTTCTTGCAGATTTAGGACCAATAAGCCTCAACTGGTTTGAAGAACTTTCTTCAGAAGCCCCACCGTATAATTTTGAACCTTCAGAAGAATATGACTATAAACCCCACAATTATGAACCACACCTGTTTAAAACACCACAGAGAAAGCCGCCTTACCATCAGTTGGCTTCAACTCCAATAATATTCAAAGAACAAGGTCAAACTCAACCACTAGACCAGTCGCCTTTCAACGAATTAGGTAACTATAGCCAGATATGGTGGCACACACCTTTAGTCTCAACATTTGGGAGACAAAATCAGTTAGTTCTCTGAATTTGAGGCCAGCCTGGTCTACAGAGTAAATTCACGACAGCCAGAGCTATACAGAGAGACCCTGTCTAAAAAATTAAAAAAAAAAAAAAAAAAAAGTTAAGTATTGGGTAAACTTGGACAAATCATGCAGTTGAAGTGTGATGGAGGGGGCATGAGCTAGGACTACAGGCAGAATTGTATGTAAAATCGCAGCTCTGTGATGAACTGAGTTCTGTTGTGCTGATCACAGTCTTTCTCATCTCTTTCCTGACTCAAGAATGGAGATGGTGGAAATGGTGTGTGATAGGTTTGGGTTCAAGGAAATAATTTTGGTATTTAGTAAATGCTTCTTTCCTCCTATGATCAGTATGCTAAGTATTAGTAAAAACACTAAGATTTTACTGAATTATGACTTGGATATTCAAAAAAGCCTGGGACTTGTTGTTGATGTTGCCTAAACTATATTTCTGCAATATAGTTTATATAGTTTATATATGAGGATGGAGGTGGGGTTTTTTGTCCTTTTTTAAAAATTTTTTTATACTTTTTTTTATTGATATTTATTGAGCTCTACATTTTTCTCTGCTCCCCTCCCTGCCTCTCCCCTTCCCCCTTCAATCCTCCCCCAAGGTCCCCATGCTCCCAATTTACTCAGGAGATCTTGTCTTTTCTACTTTCTACTTTCCATGTAGATTAGATCTATGGAAGTCTCTCTTAGTGTCCTCATTGTTGTCTAAGTTCTCTGGGATTGTGGTTTGTAGGCTGGTTTTCTTTGCTTTATGTTTAAAAATCACCTATGAGTGAGTACATGTGATAATTGTCTTTCTGTGGGTTACCTCACTCAAAATAATGTTTTCTAGCTCCATCTATTTTCCTGCAAAATTCAAGATGTCGTTATTTTTTTCTGCTGTGTAGGACTCCATTGTGTAAATGTACCACATTTTCCATATCCATTCTTCGATCAAGGGGCATTTAGGTTGTTTCCAGGTTCTGGCTATGACAAACAAAGCTGCTATGAACATAGTTGAGCACATGTCCTTGTGGCA